ATTCCAAGTTCTCTTGCCTCGTCCATGTATGGTTTGTTCCAGCAACCCACTTATCGTCAGATTGTCCTGGTTCCCCAACATCTGACATGGACCTTGTTAACCCAGGCGATGTCTGATCTGGCATGACTCTCTTAGTTTGTGTCACACTCATATCTGAGGTAGGCAGGTGAAGCGTTAGGGTGTCTTTGCCCAAGGATCCCTACTGGTAAGGTAGGTACCAGCCAGGATTTGAACCCTGATCTCCTGTGCCAAAGGTGGTCTATCCAGCGCTATCCAGCTGCTTATAACAGTATGTATTGTTGCGAGTCTGCTAATTTACTCACAAAAGTGAAACTGAAAGTGCAAATCATAAGAGAAATTTCCCTGCAGAAGTACAATCTGCAACTCCCTAAAAATTTATCCCCATATTTGGGAGCTCAAAGACACACACAATTTTGGCAACAAAAGAACATATGCCTTTCCATCTAATCCAAATAAATATACTCTTTTCTTAGTTTAAAAATTTCAAGACACCCTTCTTCAAAATGAAGTTGCTGCATTTGAAATAAAATCACAGTTACCTCAAAACCAAGACATACTTTACCACAGCAGTAAGCAAAATGGTCTTGATCCATTTAAGATTTATCAGCTTTACTAACATGTTTTAAGGTTGTAGGTATCTGGGTAGAGGGTATATAGCCTCTGGAAAATTAATTCAAATGCAACTTGTTTCTTCGCCTTGTAACCTATTGCACTAGTGTAAGAAGTTGGAGCTTGTAATTTTGTTCATACAACTTTTAGAAACTGAGTAAGAAAAGAGTAATCTTTTTCAGTTTGGGATTAAGCATTCAAATGCATATAAAATAAGATGTCTGCTTTTATTACATCATACAAAGCAAATTTCATTGAGTTGCTGCTCTGCATAACTAGAAACTTGGTGAAATAAATGACAGATTCCCCACAGAAAGAAGGAAAAGAGAGTAAGAGTAAACATGAAGTTCCCAAAGAAAACAAATGATACACATGTGCATGCATACACATACACACTCATACAGCAGGACTAAAAGAAAAGGGCTTTTGTGGCAAGAAACCTTGAAAAAGAATGTGCTTACTAAACTAATCAATTAACCAAGCATGCTGTTCAATATAAATATTTGTTCTTATTGGTAAGTTTTAAGTAAAACTATATAATACAAAAATACATTTTTAAAATTGCACTATGGATAACGGAATATCCGCTCAACCAATATAACATATCTGATAAACTCCTATTCTATAATGAAAAGATATTTGGGCACAAATATATATAAATGTGCCCAAATATGCATTTCATTATAAAATAGTTCATCAAATATCCCATTAATAGCTTTCAGAATTTATTTGGCATCAACATTTGTAGCCTATTGTCTTGAACAGTATCTGAATCTGCAATGAGAGTAGCTGTAGTACACAGTTGTCCTCCACTGTTAATTCAAACCTTCTTGATTAGCCATATGCTGAACTCTTCAACCTTGGCACAACTTTTTCTTTTCCTACAACAGAAGAGTTCCGAGACAATGAAAAATCACTCACCATGGTCACTGTACCTTCGTTGCTTCTGGCTAGAAGATATACTTCTTTGAACTTTGTGATGTGGAGACTGTCCAGTGCTATTGTTGAGATCACTACTTGGCCTGACTTTAGCAAGAGAAAGGTTGCTGCTAGAGCTTGAGTCACTAGCATCCAACTAAATATAAGTAGATAGGACAAAGGTTAGCTTATTAGCAATGTGGATCTGCACACAATAAGTATATAAAGAAAACTAAGTCTAATTCTTTGTGGCTGAGTTTACACCTCAAGCTAAACTATAATATGCAGGGGGGAGGAGGTTGGATTAACGTGATGTATGAAGCTAGTCATTATAGGTTATTCCATCAAACACGGTTAAAATAATTCATGGCTTAGTACAATATGTAAACCCAGCCCATGTATCCCTTGAGGGCTAATTAAAAAATACAGAATTGACTACATTACACACAGGGAAAAAGCAAGAGACCATAACCTAAGTTAAGGCTCTGTAGCATTTTGGATTCAAAAGCCAAGGTATTTCAGAACACATGGGGGCTCAAATGTAGCACCTGTCTGCAACTCTTTAAACCAAATAAGAAGCTGGGGAGCACCCAGAAATAAGTTCGGGGCCCATGGGTACAAAGTTAGAGATCCCAGTCATAAAGAGAAGCTACAAGACAAAGCTGAGATCCTTTGAGCACACAGGGCTTCATACACATAGCCTGAGTGACTGAATGACTTTTATTTGCTTGTTTACTCATTTGAATTTGTATGCCCTCTCAATTCTAGTGTAACAGGCTGTGTGAATAACCTTGGGACACTGGAGGAGGAGGAGCCGCAGCCTGGACAACAATCAGACAAAAGACATCTCAACCCACAGAAAGAAGGGACCCTCTCTAGTTCTCTGGAAAGTAAAAGGCAAGGGAGGGGAGAAGTGTTTTCAGACTTGAAAGGTTCTGTTACTGTAACTTTACAATAAAGGTGGTGTTAGTACTCATGGCTTTGGTTTTTTGTCTGGATTACCTTGAAGGGCTGACACCTAGGCTTTAGATAGCTTACAATACAACACCACAAAAGAAGAATAAAATCAAAATAATAAATAATAAGAACATAATCAAGCTCAACAGTATTCATATATATAACACAGCTTGCTATCTATCTATTCATTTCCCAAAGATTCTGCAGAAGAGCAGTGTCTTAATAGCCCTCCTAAATCTTAATAGGGAGGGAGCCACCCTAACTTTGGAGGCAGACTGTTAGGGTGGGTTTCTCATTCTTCTTAGTTCCCAGAAGATGGGGACCTAAGGCATATCCTTTAGGCCAGTCTGTACTGGCTGACAGATTTCATTCATTCATTCATTCATTCATTCATTCATTCATTCATTCATTCATTCATTCATTCATTCATTCATTTTGTATGCTGCCCATCACCCCCGCAGGGTGACTCTTAA